GCCTAGGCTGGAAGAAAAATAAGAGGAAAATGACTTTGAAATGGATTCAGAATACTTCATGAGAGCCATGCCTTCTACCATGATGGACCTGTGGAATAATTCCTTGTAGCCAATAGCTACAAATGAAACTGAAGCCTCAGCAGATGGTAGGAGGCCATGCTGATGGTCCCCTCACACTGACAACAAAAGTCCCCTTCCTATGCAGGTTGATAGAGAACTATATGTCAGCCTTTTGATTTGGGCTTTCCTCCATCTTTGTACTCAGCCTTATTGCCTGGACCAGCCCCCTGCTTATTTTCCCTGCTTCCAGGATGGCCCCTCAAATCTGATCATGTCATAAAATCCATTAACATTCCTTCAGGATAAAATCTAAATGCCTGAGTATCTCATAAAAGGCTAGCACTAACTGACTCCTGCCTCGCTTTGCAGCCTCCCTCAGTTTGCTTTATATTTTAGAATCATCAGGTATGTACAGGTGAGAAGAAGTTCAGCTGAAGTAACAAACATAAGTTCAGTGGATTATGTCTTGCTTATACTACATGTTCACTGGCTGTTGGCTGGGTCCCCTCCTCCATGTGTACTTCATTCGTGTGCCCAAGGTAGCAGGATCTCTACCTGCTACTCTTGTGCTGTCCAACACAGTAGCTCCCAGATACATATTGAAATAGGGCTAGTCCAAGCTGAGATGCTCTGTAAGTGTAATGACTCAGTACAAAAGAAAAGCTCATTGATAATTTGTATATTGGTTACTTAATGAAATATTTTGAATATATTGAGTTAATATATTTTATATATTATTAAATTAATTTCAAATTTTTCTCTTTACCTTTATAACTTTGTAACTACTGGGAAGTTTCAAATTATATGTATGGATTGCATTATATTTCCACTGGACAGTGCTAGCTTCTCTAGTCACGTACTGGGTGGCTACTGACTCCAAAAGTCTTCCTTGCAGAAATGACAGCCATCACTTCTATTCACATTTCATCAGGCAATGCCAGTCTCAGGCCCCACCTCACTTTAAAACAGCCAGACAGTGCTATCTTAACATGTGCTTGAAAGTAGAGGAGGTAAGGGATATTCGTGACCATCCCTACTGGTTACCCATTAACTCTTAGTGGCTTTCTGAATAGAACAAGGATGACTTTGACAGGCTATTGTTTTTGGCTAAAATGTCCTCCCTTCCCACATAACATTTGGCCAACTCCTACTCCTCTTTTAGGAGGCGGCTCAAATGTAACTTTTACTGGAAAGTTCTCCTGCACCCCATCTACCCACCCACCCCACCAACACACATACATTGTGAGGGGTTGCTTATGGTATTCTCCTCACTGAACAGGACCTTGAACACTTCATCTAGTTCCTGAGGCTTTAAACTGCCACAGCTACCTAGGAAATCCACACGAAGTATCATGTGGATTAGACTTGGCAGCGCACTTCCTTCTTTCATCCACCACCTTAGTTCGGAATTGTCTTCCTTGTCCAGCATGTGCTCCTTAGCAATGTGTTTCTGCAACCATTGCCATGACAAGCTCCCTGCTTCACCCACTGCTGTATCCCCAGCACCTCTCTTACTTCCTGGCAAGGGAAGGCACTCAGAAGATACTGAATGACCAAGTGCAGTGATGCATTGTAAAGCACCGTTACTCCTTTTCTATTTCTATGTCCCATGTGAACCTCCTGGCAGCTGTGAGAGGGAGGTTCTACCAGGTTTATCCCTTCTAGTTTACAGATGAGAAAACAGTATCTGAGTGGTGCAGAGATTGGTCTAAGTCACAGAGAAAGTAAATTGTAAAAGCAGGAGTAGAACACAGGCTGCCTGACTTCTGGTCCAGTTCTCTTTACTCAAATTGTCTCTTATTTCTCAGGTTTTCTTGAAATGGCAGATGTAGATTCTGTTTAATGAAACAAAAATGACAATTTATTTTTGTGGGGGAGGAGGTGGAGACAGGGTCTCCCTCTGTCACTGTCACGTAGGCTGGAGTACAGTGGCACAATCATGGCTCACTGTAGCCTCAACCTCCTGGGCTCAAGTGATTCTTCCACCTTAGCCTCATTGAGTAGCTGGAACTATAGGTGCACACCACCATGTCTGGCTAACTTTTAAAGTTTTTTGTAGAGACAAGGTCTCACTATATTGCTCAATCTGGTCTGGAACTCCTAGCCTCAGGTGATCTTCCAAATGCCTGAGCTTTCCAGGCTAGGTGTGGTGGGTGATGCCTGTAATCTCAGCACTTCAGAAGCTGAGGTGCTGAGATTACAGGCATCACCCACCATACCCAGCCTAAAAATCCTTTCTGTGTCCTTAATATTCTTAACATTTTCATTCGCAGCACTTCTCCATCCATTCACCCATTTATTTCACAAATATTTATTGAACACTTCCCATGAGCCTCCATGGACTCTTTACCAGAACAAAGGCTCTTGAGTCAGAATAGATCAAGAAACTCTCCCACTTACTAGCTGTAAGGTCATGGTGAATTTGACCATCCTTTGTCTTAATTTCTCAGTAAAATGGGAATTCTAATGATTCTTTGTTCACTGGGCTGTGTTGAGAATTTCCTATGTTCTACTGCTGCTCTAACAAATAACACAGACTTAGTACCTTACAAATAACACTCATGTATCACGTCACAGCTCTGTGGGTTAGCTGTGTGTCTGCCCAGGATTTACAAGGCTAAAATTGAGGTGTCAGTAGCCCTGTGCCCCATTTTGGAGGCTCTGGGGATGAATCTACCTCCAGGCTCATTTAAGTTGTTGACAGAATTTAGTTCCTTGTGGGTATAGGGTTGAAGCTGCTGTTTCCTTTCTGACTGTGGGCCAGGAGTTGTTCTCAGCCTCTAGGGGCCACTTGCATTCCGTGGCTTGTGGCCTCTTCCTCCATCTTCAAAGCCAGCAACATGTCAAGTCCTTCCCACACTTCAGCTTTCTCTGGCTTCCCCCTCTGCCTCATCTCTCCTACCTCCAGTTGGAGAAAGTTCTCCACTTTCAAGGTCTGATGTAATTAGATCAAGCCCATCCAGATAATCCCCCACCTCAAAATCTTTAACTTAATCACAACTGTATAGTCTTTTTTGCCATCTAAAGTAATACTTGCAGGTTCTAGGGATCAAGATATGAACATCTGTAGGGGCCATTATTCTGCCTGCCGTAAAGATTAAATGAAACAATGCATGTAATACACTTGGTAACATGCCTGGGCATATTGTAATTACTCAATATGTGTTAGGTATTATGATTGCTATTGTTGTATTGTTATTAATTTTATCATTGGTAAGGCAGGGAAGGGAGTGTTACCCTGCATTATGAATAAGGAAATAGAAAGGCTGAGATGTGACGTAACTAGTTCACTCTGATGGTGCAGTGCATTACTGAGTGTTCATCTTTGCATCCCCATTGCTTAGCATGCTATCTGGTAAACAATAGGAATCACTACTTTTTGAGCACTTGTTGTGTTTCAGATGCTTTGCAAAAATGTTTTTTTCACTGGCATAACAACGCTGGAAGGCAGGAATTCTTAACACATTTTGTAGTGGGGAAATGGAGGGTGACATGTGTTGAGTAAGATCTCAAGATCTGGAGCTCACAGGTAGTGAAATTAAGACTTGGACCCTAGTCAATTTAATTATAAACCCTGCCTCTTTCTGCTTCTGCGTGCTGACCCTCTGGTTTATCTTACTGCAATAGGAGATATTTCTTGACCAGCCCCATCCCTTCAGCATTCCTATATATACTTTTTGATACAGATCTGAGGTTCAAAAATGGTAAATGGCTCACTCAAGGTCACGGAGATACTAGATGGCAGAAAGGGGATTTGAATCCAGGTTTAGCTTAGTTCTGATGTCCTTGCTCCTTCTACCACTGTGCTGCGCAGGATATTTGTTGAGCTGGGGCTCAGCACATAAGTGTTAAATGAATTAATAGCCCATTACAGCCCTATTCCTGTCTTTGTATTTTGCAGGAAAAACAGCCAACAGGTGCTGTTGCTCTAGAGGACCTTATGACTTGGGACAGTAGCTGGTTTCTTGAGGGCTGAAAGTGATGGACGTTTTCCTCTGGGAATGAGAATTCTGTGAAGGACCCACACTGCCGGTGGTCTCATCCTGCTTTTTCTTAGGACTTGAGAGTGGGTGGTTGTGAAGTTGCCCATCATGGGTGCTGGCAAAACAATAACCACATTATTCTCTACTTTTTGGGATTATTTTTAAAAGGCCAACTAAAGATGAGAGGAGGAGGAGTTTGGGAGGCGGTGCAACCGCGGTGTTACCCATGGCTTGTCACCTTTTCTGTCTTATTTCTGTTCATGGAAATTCAGTCAGGCTGAGGCCTCTGGTGCTTGCACGCAGGACAATGGTTTCAGGGGACTTTAGCCCTCAAGGGGGCAAGAACAACTTTGTGTCAGTAACTGCTGATTGACCTAAAAACATGTTAGAAGGTTTGTTCTAGCAAAACATAAAAACATAAAGTCTTAAGTATTTCTGACAATGATGATTGACCCTGATGTTACTTTTAAAAAAATATTGTTACCCTTTGCAACCTCAGATGATCCTCAGGTACCTCAATGAGGTAAGAAGGACACTAGCTGAGTTAAGATTACAGGCCCTGGGATCATCCTGGTTTGGATACTGGCTCTATTATTTACCATGGGGTTACCCAACAGTAATCCCACTTTGCATGGGATTGCCCCTCTGATCCTCAGTTTTCTCATCTATAAATATGGATAATAATATCAAATGACTAGGGATATTTGGGCATCAAATGACAAAATGTAAGAACAGTGCATAAATCAGGGACTGGCAGAGAGTAAGTACTCAAAGTGGCACTGTGATGCTTGTACGGGTAAATCACCTGCTGCTGTGAGAGGACATGTGATGTGGGCAGGCTCACCCAGCAAATGAAAGGCAAACAGGTGCTGGCTGTGTTAATTCCAGAGGTTCTAACCCAGCCTCCTCCTGACTGAATCCTCTTCTCTGAGTCTGTTTATTCACTGTCTCTTACAGCCCTTTTCAAGTGTGAACCCAGTGGAGACCTTTGCAAACTGAAGTCATGAAGCAGGTTGCATGAGGCAGACCCATCTCCTAGCAGCTGTATCCATAGACACCGCCTGGTTTTGGTCTCCATCCCTTACCTAGGTAAGTATAACCCTTTCCTAACTGCTTTCCTCATTTCGTTTTGATCATACACTGCTGCTGGAGCAACATTGCTAAAAATATTTACTTTAAAACCCTTAATCAGCACTCAAGACCTCATCCACTCCAGGCCCACACTGCGAAGCAGGGTTTTCATTTCTCCTGACCTATCCTTGCCTCATAGTACTAGCTGAGGGACATGGTCTTTCCAAAGGATCTTGGAACGTGGACAGTACATTCATCTCTCTGGATGCTTGATGTTCCCTTTTGGAATCAAGCGGAGCCATCAGAAGGTCAACGGACCATGTTTTGCCACAGTCCTGTGCAGAATCAAGCTGGGTTATGCTCTCACTGCCTCTGTCCCACATTGAGACAGCCTTGTGAATATTGTTCACTATATCATACACTGCCTCCTGTATGAAGCCCATGGAAGAGATTCTTCTAGAACTATCCTGGGGAAATAAGTATGGATTGGCTCTCCTTTGTATTGTGGCTGCCAGGAAACTGAAAGCCACACTTGAAACTGTACCATAGCAGCCAGTGAGATTTTATGGTCTGGGTTTTGGGCTCTGTGTTCTTTCCCCATTATGTATAGTTTCTCTCATTCTTACTCTTTATGCTAATGAACTCAGTCATGGGATACGATTGAAATAAGAAAGTGTCTGGTATTGTAGAAGTTAATTTGTGAAGTAATAATAATAACAATAATAAATAACACTTACTGAGTAATTGCTGTGTGTGAAGCATTGTTACAAGTCCCTTATATGCATTTTTGTGTTAATTTTAACACAAACCTTAAGTGGTAGGTGATATTACTGTCCCATTTTTGTAAAGGAGAAAACAGAGGCATGAAATGATAAATGATTTGCCCAATGTTATGAAGCAAGTAATTGGCAAAGTCAAACTTTGAATATGGGATAATTTGACTCCAGAAACTAAGACCTGATCCATTAGGCATTAAGCTTCCCAAGAAACAAGAGAAATGAACATAGCCTAATCAAACCTTAGGTAGCTTGTCTTTGCTTATAAGAGAAATGAGATGTGGTGTAGGTGAGAGGTTGCTAAGGTTGCTGTGCACACAGGAGCAAATAGAAAAGTGAATAGATCTGAGTGAGACCGCAGGCTCTGGAGGAGCCCACTGTGTTTTAGTGTGTTCTGGAATGGGGACATCTGTGAGCAGAGCCAGCAGTTGTTTCAGCTTAGGTGACTTCATCATACATATCCTACCTGCCTTTATAACTTAAGTTTCAGACAGGCCAATTCCTTTCAGTTCCACAACCCTGCCAACCAGCACAGCCTCTTGCCCTGGGTGTGGATATGCTGCTCCTCCTTCACCCCCAGGCTTAGCCTTGTAAACCAGTCCATTTTTCAGGAAACAGCTCAGAAATCCCAGGGGTGCTTTCTTGGGTTAGATGTCCCGTCATGGTCCCCAAACTTGCAAGTTGCTGTGCTTTTCTTTTCTACAGTGCTGAATGCACTATTAAAAAGGCTTGTTTATTGCTCTGTTTTCTCTTGTTGACTCAGAGATTCTTGAGGGCAATGCAGTATGTTTTATTCTGCATTGCATGTTGGAATCATTATGTATGTTTGTGTGCAGAGTCTCTCCATGAAGATTTGTCAAGCAGCAAATTGTATCTGCTCTGTACTTCTATCTGCATAAATATTCAAATGATTATACAGTGTTATTTTACTGTGTGTGGTCTCATGTAGGCTTCATTGTGGAATGAAATAGGGTATAAACAAGCAAGCAAGCAAATAAACAAATACATGTAACTCAAATCTGCATAGAGCTTTATAGATGACGTCCTTTAATATCGCTCATCTCATTGGTTATACACTCTCATTTTGCATATGAGGAAAGAAATGGCTCAGGATTGCTCAGCTTATGAGGTAGTTTAAGGTGGGCTCAAATCCAGAACAGGGGCTTTGGATAACCCCGGTCCTGGGCATAAAGCCTGACCTGACCATTTGAGGCCCTCTTTGAAATTTAATTTTCTCATTTATAAAATGGAAATAATAATAGAACCAGGGTAGCAATGTAGATCCAGAAAGTTATGCTAAGCACAAAGGCTGCATAAATGCTTGGTGAATACATTAATATACAATCTAACTCTGTAGAAAACTTTGCAACAAATGCCAGGTTGTAAGAAAGCAGTGGAATTCCTTGTGTGTTCCCGACCACACTCATTCTTCCTCCTAACTTTCTGCTCATTCACTTCCCTCTAGATCTTGCAGTTATTACGATCCTTAGTTTTTGCCACGTGTACGTTATTTCATAATTCTTGGCCTTGCTTTGGATTCCCACTCTCCCTGAGCTCGTTCTCCAAGACTTGTTTTTTTGCTGAGTTGGAAAACTTCCTTCTCCTCTTGCACAACTTCTCTGATTCCACAGCTGTGACATTCTACCTGGCAGGGAGATCTGCTGTGGACACAGAGCTCACTTGGGGGCCTCAGCCGGGAACACAGAGACCTCACTGCCTTGACCCAGCAGAGAACACCTTCCTCTGATTCTAGGAAATGCATGAGAGGACCTGTATTATTTCAAAGCCAACATTTTTCAGGCATTGGACAATTTGATGGTGGAGTTCATTCCCTGCTTCCATCTGGACTGGTTCGTTTTGATCTGTCAAGTATCCTTGGGGCCAGACAGATTGCCAGATTGGGTAATTTTCTCAGAAAAGAGCTGTAAAGATGAGGGTTTCAGATGTGCTTTCAGCGTGAATCATGAGTTGCCGGCACCAGGGCCAATGCAGAGCATATGTCCATCAATGAGGGTGGGGTAAAGCAAAGTGGGAGCTACATGTGACATCCTTGGGGCTGCCACAGTTCAAAGGAGAGTTCTGCACCTGTGAACTTTTAGTACTTTTTAAAGGTATTTCTATAACCCTTTAGATTGAATTCACATTGTTGTTTGTTTAACAAAAAATTATTGAGTCTTGAAACAGATAGATATGGTCCTGGCAGTCTAGTTGGAAATGTCAGCCTGTAAGGGACAAGTAAAATATCATGTGATGAGGACTGCAGTGAAGGAAGCATGGAGAGTTATGAGATGCTGTGTAAAAGGCCCTCCATGCAGACTTGGTGGGGGTGGTCAAGATGGAGGTGACAGGTGGCAGGGAAAACTTGTCAGAGGAATTTATCACTTAGCTAAGATCTAAAGAATGAGCTGAAATTCGCTAGTTGAAGAATAATCCAGGGAAGAGTAATCCAGGGGCAAGAAATAATATGTGTAAAACCCTGGAGGTTAGGGAGCATAACATGTTTGAGAAACAAGCACCATTTCTGAGTGGGACTGTGGTGTAGGCAAAGACGGGGTGCAAACAAGAAAGAGATCCAGGCACTCCCTGCCTTTTCCCTGTTTTCACTTTACTACAACATTTGCCTGTACAAAATGTGCTCAGGAATATATGTGTTAAGTGAAAAATTCCTTACATTCATAGATTCAGAAATACTTAAAGTTCTAACGGAAATTTAAAAGCCACCCATTCAGAAAGGAGGTTATCTTAAAGGTGGGACCTCTACAAGTAAAGAAGCAACTCAGAACTTTCCTGGGTAGGGCAGGATTTTGCAGGATTTGGATCCCAGGATTTGGCCTTGTTACTAAGCTATCATATGGGCCCTAGTAGGGCCAGAGCATGAACTGCTGGGAGGGGTTTGCGTGTAATAAAACACACCTGTTGTTCTTATATTAACAATTGAGTTAGCTGAACTGCTAGTTCAAAGGATTTGCCAACAGACTATCTGGTTGCATAATTTCAACAACCCCAACTCCTCAAGTCATACTCCCCCAAAGGGTACCTACCAAATATAACATGATTCCTACCTTCCTGTGATCTTTAAGAGCTATCTTATTCCTACGAATCCTTGGTCCTTGTCTGTTTAGCTTCCTTGTAAAGTTTGCGTCTTCCAGGTTGCAACAGTTGCATGTCAACGTGATGATGATGCAAGGATTCCAATCATCTGCTGACTTGGAATTAGACTCTTCTGATGACTCGTCTGGGAACATTTAGACCAGGCAGCCAGAGATCTCCATGCCCTTACTAGGCAGGGCCATCACCCCTAAGCAGCAGGAAGTAGATACAGAAGACTGACATTCTTCCTCATTGACCCTTAAGAATAAAGGGATGGAATCTCTGCGGGGAGGTGGGGGGGGGAATGAGATGGGAATAATACAGGGTGGTCACAGGAGAACAGAAAATTCCAGGCAGCAGTTTCACATGACTAGCAAAAGGAAACTGTTAAAATGGCTGCAGAAGCTATAGGCTGATAAGACTGAAAAACCAGGGTGTGGACAAAGCTGGCTAAGACTGGCTAGACACAACATGACACTGGAATTGACCTAGTTTTCACCTAAGACCTCATTATATGCTCAGTAACATGTTAAATCACACACCCACCAGTGCCATGACAGTACAGGAACACCTATAATTGGTATAAACATGATGTCATCACAGTTCCAAGATATCGCCACCTTTTTTCCAGGAAACTTCCTGGTTAAAGAAACTCATAAAAGTGGAAACCTCAAGCTCCACAGTCCGCGTCTCTCTTGAGTATTTCTGAACTCCCCTTTCTTGAGTGTGTACTGATAAGACTTTGAATGGCAATTTAAGAAATTTAAATTTCAATCTGAAGCCATAAGGCCACATCAGAAGTTTTCAAAGGTGAGAGTCCATTGGGAAGAGAAGGTTTGCAATATAAGAAAAAATGGATTGGAGGAGGTGAGCACAGAAGCAGAGATATTATGTGAAGAGGAATTTCAATAGTCCAAGGTAGAGAAAATGACTGTATGAACCACAGCACTGACAATGGGATGGACAGGGAGGAAAATTCTGAAAAGACTGCTAAAGTGAGGTCTATAATAACCTCCACCAGACTGGCCTGTTGCTTTTTCATCAGTTAGGGCAGTGGTCCTATCCCTGGCTAAACACTAGAATTTACAGGAGGAGAAGCAGGCCTAGACTGCACCTTGGACCAACTGAATCAAAATCATTAAGTGCAGGGTCCTGATTCTCAGGTGATTCTCTTTGTCTAGCTCTGGTTGAGAACAGACCATCCTAGGCAGAGTTTCCCAGGTCTTTGCTCTTGGGGCTGGGAGAGATTTGACATTTACATACATCAGGAAAGCTAGAAATGGAAAAGTGCATGTTGCATGGATGAAAGAGTGCAGTATGTTAATAGAAATCTAGACAGAGCTATCTAGATGTAGAATTGTTATGTAATTCATCATTCAGGCAGAGACACTGTTCACTGGACAGAACACTGGACTGTGAGTGCAAACTGAGATTGCCATGGATGAACCAAAAGAAATGGCAACTCTCTATTTTGTCACCAATTCTACTGCCCCCATTCTTTCTAGAGCCTTTTCCCAACGAGGCTTTTATCCCATTATTCATAAGAACTTTCATTGTCCAGGTCACCAATTTCAACATGGCTGAACCTAAGGGTCAATTGTCTGTCCACTTTTTATTTGGCCCAACAGTTGATTTCGTTGATTCTTTTTTTACTTGGCTATATACCACACTCCTCTGTTTTTCCTCCCAGGTTGCTGGCTAGTTTTCCTTTGCGCTGGTTCCTTATAAGTCTCCGACCCTTTAATATCAAAGTGTACCTGGGTTCAGTCCCAGGCCCCGTCTTCTTTGTCTCTCTCCACCCTCTTTGACAATGTTATCCAGTTTCATTGATTGGAATATTATCGTTATGCTGAAAAGTCCCACATTTATGTTTCTAGCCCTGGACCTCTTCTGTGAATTCCAGACTCTTCCTTCCAATGCCAACTTGACATCTCACCTGAGTGATAAAAGAACCTGACTTCAGCTTTCCAGCAACTGAACTTCAGCATCCCCCTGCCCCTCCACGAGATCTATTTTTCTCACAGTCTTCCTCATTTTAATAAGCAATAATCCCTTTCATCTAGTTGCTCAGACCAGAAAACTGATTGCCTTTCCAATGTCCTCTCTTTTTCTTAATCCTCAAACTTTAATCGGTCAGCAAGTACCTTCAAAATACATCCAGAATTTGCCCACCTCTCATCCCACAACTGCCTTCATTCTGTGATAAGCTGCCATCGTTTAGTGCCTAAATCATTTCACCAATGGGTCTCTGTGCTTCTGTTCTGGCTCCCCTGCTGACTCTTCTCAACTCCACAACCAAATTAATGCTTTTAAAATACATGCCAGTTGATCTCACTTTGCTGTTCAAATGTCCAATGGTTTACCATCCCACACAAAGAAGAGGTCAATCTTTACAACAACCTTCAAAGCTCTGTATTCTCACCTCCCATCTCCTGTCTCATCTGCTCCCATCATCTCCTTCACTTAGACTGCTTTCCCCACACTTTTATCAGACTTGGTCCTAAAATACACCACACTGGGTGACTTAGACAGTTTGAGCTGCTATTAAAAAATTTCTCTGGAGTTCTGGACGCTGTAAGTCTAGGATCAAGGTGGCAATTTGATCAGGTTCTGGTAGGGGCCTTCTTCCAGGGTGCAGACAGCCAACTTCTTACATACTCCCATGGAGTGAGAGAGCTCTCTGGGGTCCCTTTTTTTTTGAGACAGAGTCTTGCTCTATCTCCAGGCTGGAGTACAGTGGTGTGATCTTGGCTCACTGCAACTTCTATTTTCCAGTTTCGAGCAATTCTCCTGCATCAGCCTCCTGAGTAGCTGGGACTACAGGCACACACCACCATGCC